GTGCGCGCGCGCGCGGGGGGCAGGCGCGACCCCCAGCGCGTGGGGCCCAAACCCGGACGGAGCAGCTCACCTTGAGGTTGTGCGTGGGGTTTACGACGCAGACAAGTTGCCCAGCGGCGGAGAAAACCCGTTTGGCCTTGTAGTGCTGAAAGCGGAGGTGGATGAGATCTAACACAGCCCCAAAGCACTGGGTGAAGAAAAGCATCCCAACTTTTGGGGGGTGGGGTCCTTGGCACAGGAAGGCGACGCAGCAGCGGTAAGTCCTGGGTCTGTTGGAGAGACTCGCGCCAGCCGGGCTTAGCGTGCCTTCATATTCATCATCAAAATAAGACCGGTAGAATCTTGCAGCAGTGAGGCGGCCAATCAAAAGGACAGAAATGTTATCCTTGAGGTGCAGAGACAGCCAATAACAAATGCCTCCCCTACTGAAACTCCCTGATGAATCGAGCCTGGCCCAGAATGTATTATTGAACATTACCGTAGATCAGCACATTGCATTTATCTTGTGATTACAGCCAACCATACATAATGCTGGGGAGATAGGCTGACAAAATTGATTGCTTAATGTGTCTCCATTTATTAATTGACTTAATTTACCATGAGAGCCTTTCTTAATGCGCTGGGCAACAACGTAAAGCGTTTAAACCGCCAAATAGTAAAGCAGCCCGCTCCGAAGTAGGCAGATGGATAACGCAGATCGTGGCTCGACTCACCAGAGCTGCTTGGGAGAAAATCAAATATTACACCACGCCTCTGATTCCAGATAAGGAATTGGCAGGAGCAGAAACGGGCATCTTTCAATTTTGTGCTCTGACTCTTTGCAATTTGGATTTCAGCCCTTTGATAAATCTCACTCTCCACTCACTCAAAAAAAAAAAAAAAAAGAATCCCAAACAAGAAAAAAATATATATACACATCTCCATAATACTATAATTACTGAAGCCTGAAAATATTAAAGCATAAAATGCACTGAGTTCGCTTCTAAAAATACTGAAATCCCTGATGTCCAAATGCACACACGGAGAAACCAACACCGAAGAAAGTGGCTTGTAAATCAGCAAAGTAATTACAGATGCGGAGGACCTTTGCTTGTCATTCATTTGCATATTGGTGGGCAGCAAATTGCTAATTAACCACTAGATTGTTGGAGACATTAAAATAGAGATCAAACGCACGTACCATGTGTCTCTGCGCCCCGCATTTCTGTGCTGGGGCGGGCAGGGGGCATTCTGGTTCTCAGACTGCATCCCTCTCTGTCCGGAACGGGGCCGACAGAGTGCAAAGCCCAACCACAGGTTCTGGACGAAGAGATCCTGAGTCTGGGGTCTGGGATCTGGGGTTAGTCAGCCTTTGAGACCAAAGCAGGAGGGTCGAGTGTCTTGTGTTTCTGTTCAGAAGTCGGCCCAGATCCAGTGCACCCAGCGAGGGTGGCCTTGTGAGTGAACTGCACTCAGACTTGTGAGCCTACTGCTCTGCTCCTTCTGGAAAGGTCCTCACTCTGCTCTGGCGACAGTGCTTGGGTTGTCATGTGCGGAAGTGTACATTCATCTGCGACACCTACGTCTGTGACCTGGTCAGGCAATTAAGCCAATGACAGATTAAAATATAGGGAAAAAAGTGGATGGGTTTACTGAAGCCCAGGTGTTAGTTTTAATTTGAATTTAAAACCAAACCAATGCTGTAAGAGGCAAATAAGCCAAACGCCAACTAAAATGGAAGCTTTGTACTTTATAAAACTATCACACTGGCACGAACCTAGAGGACAACATTCGAACTGATCAGGTCCTCATCAACACGAACCTTTCATAGCATGTGAGTCCCTGCACGCGGTCATCAAACGGTTTGTAAATAACGTTCGCAAAAATACCAGAATTTTTCCTCTAAAGTTTTTATTTTCTAGACAAGCTTTCAGTATTCAGGAGGAAAACATTCAGTGTTTTTTGTTTTTTGTTTTTTTAAATAAAAATGAGCATGTAATCCCACAGATTTCTTAGAAACACTTCTCCTAATTCATAAATGTCCAAAGTTCCCCCTTTCTCCATCCTTTGTTAGAATAGAACTATTGTATTATTATTTCTCCCCTTGTGTAACCTCAGACAGTTTTCTTAACCTTACTGAGGCTCGGTTCCCACACCCGCCACATGGAGGTGACAGAAGTTTTTTTCTTTCTGGAGGTCACTGTGGAGACTGAGATGATGTGTTGGAAGTACTCAGCCCGGTGCCCAATTCAAAGCAGCCTCGCAACCTTGGGTAGCGGGCATCTTTGGTGGAAGGGTGATTATCGGGCAGCATATTTTCTCTTTCTGCTCCATGAAATATTTTTCTCCACTGATATTCATGCTACCATCAGTGCCATATAAGCAGAGGGCACAAAGGTAAACTTGGCTCCAGCTATGTTCGTAAGGACCAGAGTTCCTGATGTTTCCTAGAAACTCAGCCTGGGAGCGAGGGCTGAGGGGCTAAGGACTGCATTTTGATATCAGCAGTGAGAACAGTGCCACGGACATGCTATCGTGGTTTCTTTTGCTTGGTCTCAGACTTGGCCCCTTGTTCTACCTCTGTATCCCAAAACTGGTCTACGTCACTCTGTTTTAGAATATTAAGCACACCTGTCTGTTCTCAGAATCAGTCCTCAAAATAATCATCCATTGGGAAATGTCTGGAGCTTACTCTAATAATAGATGCTCATGCTTAATGTCCCCAAAGTAGAGTGACACAAACTAGCCTGCAGGTAGAGATTTAGAGCCGTGTCCACCTCTTACCACTAAGTCAACCCCTACACAATAGCCACACCTATCCCCTCAGGCTACCCCCCAGGATGCCTAGGGCTCCCCCTTCATCTCCATAACAGCCAGATTGACATTTTATCCGGACTAGAAAGTCTCTGGGATTGGTAATCAGACAAATTTGGATTCAAACCCTACATTGCTACTCACTGTTATTTTGGGCAACTGAATCTCCCTGATGCTTAGATTTGTTGCCTGTTAAACGAAGCTAAGAACTCCCTTGAAAAGCAGTTGAAAGACTGAATGAGATAATATAGGTAAAATGACCAGCCCCAATGCCTGGTTTTCATAATAATTTTAATGAGGAGCTATTATCATCACTATCATCCTCTCATCAAAACTATTTTTATCCAACTCAACCCAAAGTGCTGGTGAGAATGTGGGACAACCCAAACCCTCATACACTTTTGGGACCCACTTTGGAAAACTGGGTGCATCTACTAAAGCTGGATGCGCATACCCCAGTGGCCAGAAAGTCCACTGCACAGACCCCACAGAGATGTGAGCATGTGCTCGCCGAGAGACTCGTCCACGGGTTTTCATTGCAATGTTGTCCTAACATAGTTTCACAGTAACTATATTCGCAACAGTTAAACGCTGGAAACAGCCTAAGTATCCATCAACGAGAAAATGGACAAATTATTCTTTTTCTCTTTTTGTTAAATACCACCTCGAAAATGGAAAAGGACGAACTATCGCTACATGCGACAATGCAATAACGCGGACGGATCTCAGAGATACAATTTTGAGGTAGAGAAGCCAGACAGAAAAGCGTACATCTTGTGATTCCGTTTCTAAGGAGGTCAAGATCCCAGAAAAGGTAATTCATGGTGTGGGAGATGAGAGGCATGGTGACTCTGGTGGGGCGATGGCTGAAGGGGACATGAAGGAGGTTTAGAAGGCAAGAGATATTGTTTTTTGAGCTGTATTCTAGTTTCATGCCTGTTGTGGGTTAACTGTTTCCCTAAAAACAGATATGTTGAAGCCCCCATCCCCAGTGCCTCAGAATATGACCTTCTTTTGGAAATATAATCAAGTTAAAAGCGAGGTGATTAGTGTGAGCTTGAATCTAATAATGACGAGTGTTCTTATAAAAAGGGGGGATTGGAACACGGAGGGGGAGACACAGAGAGAATGCCACGTGAACGTGAAAGCAGATATGTCTGCGAGCCGGGGATACCGGAGATGACCAGCCAACTGCCAGGAGCGAGAAGAAAGGCACAGAACACACTCCCCGTCCCAGGCTTCAGAAGGGACCAGCCCTGCCGACGCCAGGGTCTGACTCCCGGCCTCCAGAACTGTGAGACAGTAGATTTCTCTTGTTTAAGCCCCCCGTCCCCGCCCTCCCCCCCCTGTTTGTGGTACTTAGTTACGGCAGTTCTAGCAAACTAATACGATGAATCTGTCTATTTCGTGGGAATTCTTCATGCTGTGAGCTTATGATCAGTGCATTTTTTTTCCGTATGTAAAATATATGCAGTGAATACTAAAAACGTGGGTGAGCATATCATTGTGAAATAGCGAAGCACTTCATAAAGATTTAAGAAGTCCATTGAAGTCATCGCGAAGAGAAATACTTCGTTACGTGAAATCTTCAGCTTGGTATTTCACAGTAATGTCTAACAACTGAAATCGACAAAATCCAAAATATTGGGGGATATATTCGCAGCAATGATGACAACAAAAGATTTGTATTTCTACCAAAGAACTCTCGTACGTGCATTTTAAAGAATTCAAATCGTATAGAGCACATAGACAATGGATATAAACAGCATACGCAGAAGAAGAAATTAAAAGATGAACGAATCAATGAAAAAAATGTTCACAGAACTAGAAATCAGAGAAATGCAAATTAAAGTAAGAGATCATCTCTTACTTGTCAAGTTGGTACTTTTTATTTTTAAATGATAATATCCACTGCTGATGAATCTTCTCTGAGACTGAGATTCTCACTCGCTGGTGATGAGAACAACGACGTTGAAAGGCTTGGGGTGCTGTATGCCAGGCGCTGTGCTAAACGCTTGGCCCATGCACTCGAGTACCTCTATCATTAAACATTTTCCTTTTCTCTTCACAGCAACCCCATGGGACAAAGGTTATCTTTCTCCCTGCCAGACAGGGAAGCTGTCGTTCAGGAACGGTGACTTGTCCAAGGTCACTCAACCAGTAAACGGTTAAGAGCAGGACTCGAACCCAGATTTCGCCAGCGCCAGACACTGAGACTTCCTGTCTCTGAGAGCATAACTTGTGCTTTTCCCTTGAAAACGGTTTGAGAATATGCATCAGCTGCCTAAAATGGTTCAAAAACTCTGACCTACTTACTAAATTTCTAGGAATCTGTTCTTATAATATAACCAGAAATGTCGATGAAGATTTAAGTACAAAGATGATCATTACTGTATCGCTTATACTATAGGAAAAAATAGAAGA